CACCAAAATAGTATAAATAAAAATAAATAATTGGTTGATTGCAGAACTACCTAACCCAACTTTATACCCACGCAAATATGGAAACACACATATCAAAATAATTAGCTCATTTATAGCAACTTTCGAACTCTCGTATTTTATATTTGTCTAAGTAGCAAGTACTTAAAAAATTTAAATTATCACTTTAACTTTGAATAAAAAAATATTTTTATGAATGCGTCTACAGATTCTTCTTCCATTCATAGTCTAATTTTGTCTTAACTTCATACAAAATGTTTCGTATTATGGAAAAAATCTGAATATTTACACTTGGGGGTGTGCCTGAATATATAGCACCGAATATTGATTCACATGAATTTTACTGCCTCGATTTGACCAAATTTTGGGTTTCCGATTTTAGATTTATTCATGTACCTTGTACTTTAATGTATGTTAGCACATGAGTCCGAAAGTTATTCGTCATGTAATTATGAGGCCAAAAGTTTCTATGGATGAAAGCCATTATTTGATTTAAAGTAACTTTTGGCATCACAATCTTTAGATTTTTTTTAATAGTTACTTCATAATTAATAACACAATTATGACTTTTTCTTGTAGGTTTATTTCTCTTATTTGTTATTAAAATAACTGCTATTAAGTTAATTTTAGCTTGGGTTGTAAGTTTGAAAGTTGTTTTCTACGATTCTGTGAGGCCAAAGTCTACAAAAGATGAAAATAATTTTAGGTTAGATAGTTCAACACTCTGCCAATTATTTATTTTTATTTATACTATTTTCGTGTGGTATAGCAAGAATAATGGTCAACAATCAAGTATTTTAGGCTCAAAAAACGGCAGATCAAATTCCTGATAATATTAACACTAATAAGTCTAAAAATTTAACCAAATATTGACTTTTTTAAAGTGTTATAGGTTTACTGACGAGGTGGCTGAGGAAGGGTATGAACCCTGAAACTGGTATCACCAAAAGTAGTATAAATAAAAATAAATAATTGGTTGATTGCAGAACTCTACCTAACCCAAATTTATACCCACGCTAATATGGAAACAAACATATCAAAATAATTGGCTCATTAATAGCAACTTTGGACCTGTCGTCCTTTATATTTGGCTAAGTAGCAAGTATTTAAAAAATGTAAATTATCACTTTATCTTTGAATAAAAAATATTTTTATGAATGCGTCTACAGATACTTCTACCATTCACAGTCTAATTTTGTTTTAACTTCATACAAAATGTTTCGTATTATGGAAAAAATCTGAATATTTACACTTGGGGGTGTGCCTGAATATATAGCACCGAATATTGATTCACATGAATTTTACTGCCTCGATTTGACCAAATTTTGGGTTTCCGATTTTAGATTTATTCATGTACCTTCTACTTTAATGTATGTTAGCACATGAGTCCGAAAGTTATTCGTCATGTAATTATGAGGCCAAAAGTTTCAATGGATGAAAGCCATTATTTGATTTAAAGTAACTTTTGGCATCACAATCTTTAGATTTTTTTAATAGTTACTTCATAATTAATAACACAATTATGACTTTTTCTTGTAGGTTTATTTCTCTTATTTGTTATTAAAATAACTGCTATTAAGTTAATTTTAGCTTGGGTTGTAAGTTTGAAAGTTGTTTTCTACGATTCTGTGAGGCCGAATTGTACAAAAGATGAAAATAATTTTAGGCTAGATAGTTCACCACTCTGCCAATTATTTATTTTTATTTATACTATTTTGGTGTGATATAGCAATAATAATGGTCAACAATCAAGGATTTTACAATTTACTTCTTTTATCGCATCCCCTTTGCTCCAGCCTTACTCCGCTCTTTTCCACTCCTTTCATCCACCCTGCTTCTCTTCCATCTTCATTCAATATTTCTGTTATACTTTCCTTTTTTCTTTAATTTCGCTCTAGTCTTGTAGCATGTATTCGAAAGTCTCTTGCACTTCTCCACACATCCTATATATTCTTCTGCTTTCGCTTAAGCAAAAGTTATTGTTTCTTTCTTCATGTCCACCCCTCTGTCTAGCAATTACTTTTTCTCCTTCGTTCTTTCTCTCTCTAGGTACCTTGGCGTTGTTTCTGATATTATCTTTAGACGAGTATAACCCCCATTGTACCTAGGTTCCTTTATACTCGCCATTGGACATATTTGTCCTTGTTGCCACTTTCGAGGAGACCTTTACTTTTCCACATCTCATTCATTATTTCACACAGTCTTTCAATCAAATCATCCGTTCTAAACGTCCATACATCATTTACCAATCCATTCCTCCCTGGTCTTTTCCCTCTTTTCGACCCTCCAACTTGTTTCCATATTTTTTCCACTGTAATGTTCGGCCATTCTTTCTCTCTCAGCATTCTCGGTTTAACTCTTTTGCGCTACAGTACTCTCATTTCCACTCATTAGTTTCATGAAATGGTACTTCCATTGTATTATTAGCATTTCTTCACTGATCATGTTTTTGTTTTTCCTTATTTTGGTTCTTGCTCTGATTTTATGGCTTTTATTTTATTTCTTCTTTCGGAATCTCTTCTTTTTTTTATTCACACCGACCTGTTATTATTTCTTGCTGGACAGTACTCTTCTTTTTTATCTTTCCCTTTTTACACCTTCGTAAACATTTTCTTTCTTATGTTTTTAAATCTCTGCATCTATTAACCCGCCATTTGTTTCTCTTTTCTGATTTCTTCGTTATAAATGCTTTTCTTATTGCTGCTTTTTCAGTTGTTATTTTTAATTCTTCTATATTATTTTAGCTTACTTCTTTTGAATTCAATTTCCAACATCTTTTATAATGCTCAGTTCCCTTCTCCTTTTTATCTACTTCCTTATTTGTGACTCCGACTTTTCTACTTCTATCCCTCAATTTTACTTCTTATAGCATGTGGTCGGAATCAATTCTTTCTCCTAATTTAAATGTTTCGGCTTCTTCATCAGCTACTGGGTTACATATACAGGTAAATTCTTTATCTTCATCCCCCTCCTTCACCCCATTCAAGACTACCAAACTCTTTCTTCAATTAATTTCCATAGAAATTTTCTGTCTTTATTTAAAATTTTATCTTTAGATTTTTCTGTGCGTTCTCCGCTATATTCCCTGCTTTTGTTGCCTATTTTGGCGTTAAAACCATCTCCTATCAGAAGAAATTCTTCGTTAGACTCTTCAATTTTTTGTTAAATTTTTTTCTTCAAATTTTTGGTAATTCCAATGCAATACAATATGCAAATTCTTTTTTTCTTTTATCTTTCTTTCCACTATGCGTTCCACTTCTATTACCCGCTCTTCGATTTGTTTTATATCTTTTGTCACCCCTGTTATGGATCCCCCACTTGCTTCACCCTCAACTTTTCCTTTTTCCTTGTTCAATTTATTCCCCTTACTCTTTAGTATCCATGTTTCTGTTAATCACACAAAATCAAAATTTTATGTACTCATTAAATAAATTCTGTTTATTTTTCTTAATAATGCAATATTTCAAACAAGCAATTTTAAACCCCATTTGTCCTCCCCGCTTTTCTTTTCCATTCCCTCTCTATTTTTTTTATAATTACCACCCCTTCTCTTTATGCTTCCTTGCTCAGTTAATTCCAACTCTCTTTGTAAAATTTTTCATCCAAATTTCCCTGTCTTCATTCCATGTCCTCAACTTTCCGTTTCTTACATTCTATAGCTGTTGTGTATCTTTTTTTTTTCTTTCTTACTCTCTAACTTCTTTCTGAATTTTTGGCTCTTCTACTGTCCAATTGTTTTCAGTTGCTTTATATTTTCTTTAATTTTAGATAAATTTCCAACATTCTTCTGGAAATTACTACCTTCAAACAACTTCCCGCATTTATATAAAACCTAGTCATAATATTAGCTTTGTTAAGTAAATCATCTATGCAACCAACTTTTATACTTAACAATCTTTTCTCAAACCAAAATTGTTAAAATTACTGTTAAAAGATGTCACTGGATATGCGTGAGTCCAAATGTTACGTTGAATGTGTGAGTCACTTCGGCCTCAAAAGCTACGGCGAGGCCGAAACTTCCAATTTGAGCCCAAAAGTATATATACGTGAGAGAATTTGAGGTCGAAAGTTATCATTAACATATATATATATATATATATATATATTAGGGTGATTCAAAAAAAAAAAAATAATTTTTTTTTTCGTGCAAAGAGGTTCAAAAGTTTCTTTTCAACGTAAAAAAATACCAGTTAAAATTTGAGCTCTTAATATTAATATTAAGACCGTCCGCATCGCGTTTTTCTATTTCCCATAAGAATAACATGGGAAAATTTTTGTTTGCACCTTCTGATTTTTATTGCTAGCCCGTCGTGTGTCGTGAAAAAAATTCAATCACATATTTTTATAGAGAATTGAACGCTCTACAAAAAGTGTCTCCTATGATTGTGCGAGAAACCTGATAGTTGAAGAGTTATTTTAGGCTAAAGTTAAATTTATCCAAATTTTGACGTTTTTGATGCATTACAATAAATTTGATGGTCTTATTGGAATAAATCACCACAAAAATTTATACACATTTTAAATTTAGTTTTTTAAACAGTAATTGTTTATAATTTTATGCTATAATAAGGCCAGTAAAACTCTTTCCGAACATTTTCAGCATCAGTGGGTTAAAAAATCATAGTCAGGTTTCTCGCAAAATCATAGGAGACACTTTTTGTAGAGCGTTCAATTCTCTATAAAAATATGTGATTGAATTTTTTTCACGACACACGACGGGCTAGCAATAAAAATCAGAAGGTGCAAACAAAAATTTTCCCATGTTATTCTTATGGGAAATAGAAAAACGCGATGCGGACGGTCTTAATATTAATATTAAGAGCTCAACTTTTAACTGGTATTTTTTTACGTTGAAAAGAAACTTTTGAACCTCTTTGACACGAAAAAAAAAATTATTTTTTTTTTTTGAATCACCCTAATATATATATATATATATGTATATATAGTAATTAAAACACCCTTTCACTTGGCTTTATTTTCAGGAAACATACTGGAGAATCCCAGACATACCAGTAGACACTATCCAAAAATATATTGATTTGCTGCAACAAGCACTAGACAAAACGCTTACAGTTTCCCCTAGCGAAAATTCAGAACCAGCAATAAGGGAAACAGATGAAATAGATATTATTCATGAACACAGAAATACAACTCCAAAAAATAGTCGGTTATTAAATATTATAGATAGCGATGATGATACCGACAGTATCGAAATTTCTTCATCGAACAGGGACATAACTGCAGAACTGGAAAATGAAAATATCCTTGCAACCACTTCGCAGATTGTAAACAAAAGTGGCCTCAGAAAAATTATCGATAGTGACGATGAAGAAGAAAATACTCCGACGGTACGTAGAGTGAGAAATATAGTAGACAGCGATGAAGAAACCACAGACGCAATTCTTCGCGTAAATAAATTGAAGACTCCGAGCAGAAGACTCATTGATGATGCAAGTGATGATGATAACGACGAAAATCAAGAGAAGGATAAACGTCAGGCTGAATCACACTCTGAAGAACCGGCGCCAAAACGAAGTAGAGTAATTTCAAGCGACGAAGATTAGATAATACAATGTTTGTCTTTTTTATTGATAATAAAGTGAACTTAGCATTGGCTTTTTGGGTGTCTAATATTTCAGTTATCTTTACTTTGCTCTCCCAGAACTGATTAAGATGACCTAGTTGTTTCCCAGTTTTACTTTTCGCAGATCAAAGCGTCTACAATGAGACTAAAAAAGTTTATATAGGTGTATTTTCTTTTTAAAAGTACCTACCAACTATCGCAAAGATCGGCTCATTATGTTTCTTTATCTTTACTTTCCTTATCTGTCTATTTCAAAAATATCTCTTTCATTTCCATAATACGATTAGTAGTGATTTCGCACTAACACAAGTCAACATAGTAATTATATCATGATGAAAGCAGTTTTTATTGCATTGCTTGCTTGTGCTTTTATTGTTATATGTGCATCCTCTGGTTGCAAAAAGAAAACAATAGGTGAACAGCATTCAATAGTTAAATAAGTAGATAAATCTAGCGTCTTTTCAGAAAGAAAGTTTACTCAAGCAGAAAGATCGCTAATAGTAAAAACACATAACAGTTTACGTAAATCTCTTGAAAAGGGTCAAGTTAAGGAACAGCCCAGGGCTGCCAAAATGAAGCGTTTGGTAAGTAAATATCATCCCTAACTGCACAAATAATAGTAATTTTTAGAAGTGGGATGCGCGTTTAGCAAAACAAGCACAAAAAATTGCCGATACATGTAAATTTAAACATGTGCCTGTGAAGGATGGTAATGATCGTGCATGTAAATAAGTAAATGTTAACGGAGAATTTTTAGTGCGATGGGCTGTCGGACAGAATCTGTTTAAGTTATCATCTACAGACCATATCAAGGGTATAAATGTAACAGAAGCTATTTATGCATGGTTTAATGAACACGAATTATATACTTATCCTCATTATACAAAAGAGAGTGGACATTATACTCAAGTAAAATTTATTTTTTTATTATTTTCGATTTGTTATTTCAATGATTACTGTTACTCTTGAAGGTAGTCTGGGCGAATACTAAGTATGTTGGCTGTGGATATACGTTCTACAAAGCAGGTGGAAAATTTAAATACCAGAAATTACTTGTGTGCAATTATGGACCAGCGTATGCTTTACACATTTTATAATTACTAATTAATGGCAGAATCGTCATTTTTAGGGGTAATGTTCAAGGGTACGCGCCGTACAAACCTTGGTCAAGACATGAAAATTAGTTATGCATGAATCTAAGCGCATGTATAAAATTAAACGAAGTGAGTAAGGTCGCCAATATATAGCATATTTTAAATAATTGTTGTAGAGTTTTTTTTTTAGATATTTAGAATACCAAGGATGATCACATAGCTTCCTGGATGTAGTCTAACACTTTTGTAGTATTCAGTACACTTTGTAATCTTGTATAAATAAAATAACGGTATTTAGCTATTTGTTTTTTCGATTTGTCTATGATGTTTTGCAAGTGATACATTTTTAAGTGAAAAATAATTAGAATAGTATTAAAATAACACTACTCTATCCAAGGAACTCATATTTCACTCGAAAGATTTTTTTCAGTTTGTGACAGTACTGCACTGAAATGTACCAGCTTCACACATGTGAATTTTGCGTGAAAACTTCAGCAGAATAAACATGTCATATGCAGGCAGATGCGTTTATTCAAATAATGCAATTATTGAATGAACCGGTAGCTTCTTCTATTCATTGTATAATATTTGTTTCGATTATTAATAATAAAAAAAATGGTCTAATGTTATTATTTAGCCGGAATTTTCATAAATTATGCTTTCAACTAAACAAAAAAGTTTTATGTGTCCTGCATATTCCCGTAGAAAATAATAAACGCTATACTTAATATTTAACAAACGCTTTTTTTAACTTTTGCTCATGCATATATAGTACCATATTTAGAAAAATGATCGAAGGTTATGTCGACAGAACTTCCCTGACCCCAAGAGTATAATAATAAAACATATCCAGTTTTTTCAAAACATTATGAAATTTGATTTTGCGAATTTATGTTTTTTGAGAACTCCTAGAAGTTAAAATAAATATATGTATGTAATGTTCAAGTAAAAGTAAAGAAGCTTGCTACGCGTGTGTTTCAAATGAGTTTTTTCTTTACAAAATTTTGTGATCTCGTCATCAACATTTTTGCAAGGACACGTATAATCAGTTTGTCCAGGTAAAGTTTGTCTAGAATTATAAGAATTTTATGGACTCCCAAAGTTAATTCGTTTTACAGCCCTGTTGTCAATTTTATTGTACAGCTGAAGAGCGGGGCGAAGTCAGGTACAGAAAATATCGGCTTTCCCCTGACAGGCTCTTTACCTGTACAATAGAATTGACGCCTGGGCTGTAAAACGAATTAACGTTGGGAGTCCATAAAATTCTTATAATTTTGGACAAACTTTACAGTGCTATACTAATAGTAACATTATTGCAGTATTGTAGTAAACAGTATCGACCTCACCTGACCTGACCTCATTCATTTTTTACTTCCCGAGCGTAAGCAAAGAAAGTATTGTAATCGAGTCCATCGGCCGACTCTCTACTTTTACGTTTTCTCGATCTTTCATGACCCCTAGAAGACAAAGAAATAGATCTGCCATTTCCGTCTGTCTGTAAGGTCTGTCTGCCGTCCCGGATTTTTATTAGACAGATAATCTCCGAAAGTACTGGACCGATTGTTGTGAAATTTTGTACTTATATTAGGAATATCATGTAGATGGTAAAACGCTAACCAAAACTTGTCTAATCATCCCCACCACTAATGCGATGACGTCACTTCAAAATTGTACATAGTAAATGGGTTTTAAATTGTATAAAATAACATAGTCCTACACATGTAGTTTACAACTCCGAATTGAGTTTTCACCCGAAACGTCCACATTTTTGGAAAAAAAATCAAAATTATAAAACAACATTTTGAAATTTAATTTTGAATCTGCTAACCAGAATGCTTTGAAATGTTGCAGATGTTTTAAGGCTATAAAGAGCATCATAAATCTTTAGTCAAAATATATTTGGTTATCCCCTCCAAAAACTTGATGACATCAGCTCAAAAGTTTGCCGAACTATGTATCTAAAATGTACAAAATATGATGAGTCTGTACTTGTGATCTATCACTCCATTCATATTTTTTGGATTTGCATATACAGGGTAACTCAAAAAAATTAATGAATGCGTACATTTATTTTACTGATTTACTCAGGAACTACAAAACCGAATGCTTTGAAATTTTGAAGATGTTTTGCAATTATCATAAGCATAGTAACTTTTTGATCAAAATGTATTTGGTCCTCCCCCCTAAAAAATTTATGACGTCACTACAAAATTTTGCTGAATAAACCCTATCTAAAATGCACAAAATATAAGAATAAGAATAAGTTTATTGCGCAACTAGAGCAACGTACAAAAAGTTAGAGTGCAGGCTAACCCTGATACTAATACGATTCTAACTCATACCTACACACATTAAACATTCAATATACAAATAGAATACGTAAATAAGTAAAATAAATAAAACAACTTAACAAACATAGTCAAACTTAAAATTGACGAACATTAACATTTATGCCGTGACCATTTATCAGACTTGATTCTCTTTTACTTCCCGAGCGTAAGCAAAGGAAGTATTGTAATCGAGTCCGTCGGCCGACTCTCTACTTTTACGTTTTCTCGATCTTTCATGACCCCTAGAAGACGAAGAAATAGGTCACCCATTTCCGTCTGTCTGTCCGTCTGTCCGTCCGTCCGTCTGTCCGTCCGTCTGTCCGTCTGTCCGTCTGCCCCCGGATTTTTATTAGACAGATAATCTCCGAAAGTACTCGACCGATTGTCGTGAAATTTTGTACTTATATTAAGAATATCATGTAGATGGTAAAACGCTAACCAAAATTTGTCTAATCATCCCCACCACTAATGCGATGACGTCACTTCAAAATTGTACATAGTAAATGGGTTTTCAATTGTATAAAATAACATAGTCCTACACATGTAGTTTACAACTCCGAATCGACTTTTCACCCGAAACGTCCAGATTTTTGGAAAAAAAATCAAAATTATAAAACAACATTTTGAAATTTAATTTTTAATCTGCTAACCAGAATGCTTTGAAATGTTGCAGATGTTTTAAGGCTATAAAGAGCATCATAAAGCTTTAGTCAAAAAATATTTGCTTACCCCCTCCAAAAACTTGATGACGTCAGCTCAAAAGTTTGTGGAATAAATCATATCTAAAATGTACAAAATATGATGAGTCTGTACTTGTGATCTATCACTCCATTCATATTTTTTGGATTTGCATATACAGGGTGACTCAAAAAAATTAATGAATGCGTAAATATATTTTATTGATTTAATCAGGAACTACAAAACCGAATGCTCTGAAATCTTGCAGATGTTTTAAGGTCATAAAGAGCATAATAAATGTTTAGTCAAAATATATTTACTTATCCCCTCCAAAAACTTGATGACGTCAGCTCGAAAGTTTGCCGAATAAATCATATCTAAAATGTACAAAATATGATGAGCCTGTACTTGTCATTTATCACTCCATTCATATTTTTTGGATTTGCATATACAGAGTGACTCAAAAAAATTAATGAATGCGTAAATATATTTTATTGATTTAATCAGGAACTACAAAACGGAATGCTCTGACATCTTGCAGATGTTTGAAGGTTATAAAGAGCATAATAAATGTTTAGTCAAAATATATTTGCTTATCCCCTCCAAAAACTTGATGACGTCAGCTCGAAAATTTGCCGAATAAATCATATCTAAAATGTACAAAATATGATCAGTCTGTACTTGTGATCTATCACTCCATTCATATTTTTTGGATTTGCATATACAGGGTGATTCAAGAAAATAAATGAAAGCGTAAATTTATTTTACTGATTTACTCAGGAACTACAAAACCGAATGCTTCGAAATCTTGAAGATATTTTAAAATTATCATAAGCATGGTAAATTTTTGATCAAAATGTATTTGGTCGTCCCCCCTAAAAAATTTCTGACGTCACCCTTAAATTTTGCTGAATAAATCCTATCTAAAATGCAAAAAATATGATGAGTTTGTACTTGTGATTTATCATTCCATTCATATTTTTTAGATTTTCTTAAGAGGTGGTTCAAAAAAATTAATGAAGTCAATTTATTTTATTGATTAAATTAAAGGCAACACTTATTATTAGTATTACGTTTTACCATCTACATGATATTCCTAATATAAGTACAAAATTTCACAACAGTCGGTCCAGTACTTTCGGAGATTATCTGTCTAATAAAAATCGGGGACAGCAGACAGACGGACAGACCGACGGAAATGGGAGACCTATTTCTTCGTCTTGTAGGGGTCATGAAAGATCGAGAAAACGTAAAAGCAGAGAGTCGGCCGACGGACTCCATTACAATACTTCCTTTGCTTACGCTCGGGAAGTAAAAATTAATGAATGCGTGAATTTATTTTATTGAGTTAATTAGGAACCACAAAACCAAATGCTTTGAAATCTTGCAGATGTTTTAAGGTTATAAAGAGCATAATAAGTGTTTAGTCAAAATATATTTGCTTACCCCCTCCAAAAAATTGATGACGTCAGCAAGAAAGGTTGCCGAATAAATCCTATCTAAACTGTACAAAATATATGAGTCTGTACTTGTGATTTATCACTCCATTCATATTTTTTGGATTTGCATATACAGGGTGACCCAAAAAAATTAATCAATGCGTAAATTAATTTTATTGATTTAATCAGGAACTACAAAACCGAATGCTTTGAAATCTTGCAGATGTTTTAAGGTTATAAAGAGCACAATAAATTTTTAGTCAAAATATATTTGGTTATCTTCTCCAAAAAACTGATGACGTCAGCTCAAAAGTTTGCCGAATAAATCCTATCTAGAATATGCAAAATATGATGAGTCTGTACTTGTAATTTATCATTCCATTAATATATTTTGAATTTGCATATACCGGGTGACTTAAAAAAAATAATTATTGCATACATTTATATATTTTATTGGTTTACTCAGGAACTACAAAACCGAATTCTTTGAAATCGACTGCGAGAAAAAACATAATAGGCATGCAGTCGTCATGTTTCCGACAGCGAGGGAAGTACTGTCTAAACTCTTTAGACCATTTTTTTTTAATTACCCTGTGTAAGCAATTCTGAAAAATATCAATGCAATAATAAATCACACGCATAGACTCATTATATTTTGCACATTTTCGATAGGATTTATTCGGCAAAATTTTGAAATGAAGTCATCAATTTTTGGGGATAAACAAAAAATATATTTGGGTAAAAAACTTACTATGCTTATGATAACTTTTAAAACTCACTAATTCACCAATTTTCTTGAGTCATCCTGTATAAGCATTTCCAAAAAATTAGTTGAAGGTTATTGCGAAAGAACT